ATTGTATAGGTCAATAGGAAATCCAAGTTCTGCTCGTCTACAACCACCTAACAAGAAAGGGAAAAACAGAGATGATCTAATGGAAGAGAGCACACATTCATCTTTTTTGTACCAAAGCATTGGCTCTAAGTTTGATCAAGATAGGGGGAGACCGTCTCCCTGCTATAGGGTCTTGATCACTCTGTCCCTTTGATATCTCCAAAGTAGAACCTGGTAGTCCTTGTAACTTTTCCTGGAACTAATTAGAAACTGACAACTATAAGTACAGATACAAAATTCAATACACTGAAGTGTCTTAATTCAATTAAACTGACTTAGCATATAGTAACTATTCAACTAATACGTAGCAAACAAACACATCTGCTAACTATGTATTGTCATGATGTGAGGAATACGCCAAGAAGATATGACAAATCCCTGTCCCCTAGAGTTTATAATTTTCTCAAGAAAAAGTGGGCTGACCAAAACCCAATTTACGGACATTCAAGTCCATATTTAGTGTCATCAAATGTTAGAAAGTTGGTTATGGGCTCTTGATGCCACAGGTGTTGGGAAGTTCTCCAATTGCCAGTGACAGAGATGAAACACATGACAATAGTGAAAATTCAGAAGACATCCCACATCTGTCTGTGACAGTCTAAACCTGGAATATATACAGCTGGTCACACGCCAGCATATAACACACGCAGCTGGTCACACACCAGCATCTAACACACACAGCGGGTCACACACCAGCATCTAACACACGCAGCTGGTCACACGCCAGCACCTAACACACGCAGCTGGTCACACGCCAGCATCTAACACACGCAGCTGGTCACACACCAGCATCTGACACACACACAGCTGGTTGCACGCAGCATCTAACACACGCAGCTGGTTACACGCCAGCATCCATCCCCTTGCCCAGCAGCAGGGTTCTGCTTTTATTTGGATGCCCTCCTCTCTCGCAGTCTGAAGGATTCTGGTTGAGACAATGCTAACTGATATTTGTACACTCATCTACTCATGGATTCACTTACAAGTTTTACAGATGGAGAACTGCAGAACAGATCTTGGCAGAAATAACTGTGGTCTTTTTATCCTTAGGCTCCCTGTTCCCAAGATACTTATGGGGTTTTATATAGATTTCAAAAATAAGAGTTTCAGGAAAAGTGAGTAATATTGGTGGGAAAGACACAGGGAATCATTTGACTATGTTCTGGGATATAACTCAATCAATTCTATTTTCCATGGGAAAAAAAAAATCTAAGTTGGCATGAATCATGTTGGTTTATTGAACCAAACATAAAAGAATATTCTCATAAGCAAAAGTCTAGAATCTCTCAGATAATATATTCGGTCAGAGTTCTACTTGGTCTTAATGATATACTCTTATTAAACATTGCTTTTTTTTGGTGGTACTGATGCTGGGATTGAACCATGATCTCATGTGTGCCAGGCCCTCAAGGCAAGGCTCTACCACTGAGTTGAACTCCCAGTTCAAGGCATTATGTTTATTTGAAGCTTTTCAAAAGATCAGACAACCCATGGGCATGGCAGCAAACATTTGTAATCCCAACACTTTAAATAAACATGAACAAAAAGATCAGAAGGGCAAGGTCTTTCTCAGCCAACCTGAGCTAAGATCCTGTCTCAAACAGAACAAAGAGCTGAGCCTACCATATCTGCATTCAGTCTGAGCCCTGAAGTGACACACATGATTACCTGCAGTCTGTAAAGTAAATGATGGATCAGCTGGGACACTTTGCTGACAAGGTGATTCTGACTAAGAGGCACCAACTGACAAGCCCGCACAAGAACAGCACTGACATCCTAAAAAAAAAAAAAAAAAAAGATAAATGCACCGGTTAGCCGAGTGAGCACCCCAAACACAGTCAAATGGGAAAAGTATAATGAATGTTCCACACCCAGTGAGGGAAAATATCCCAGTGAAAGTTGAGGCAGAAAATAAGGGTTGGGGGAATGAAATAACAAAAATTAGTAAGTAATAAAAAGAAGGAAAGGAACTTTTACCATATAGTACAATTAAATAACAAAAGAAGGGATTCCAGCATGGAAAAGCACACGTGCTACAGCTAAAAGTACCAAGCGAGTCAGACATTCAATGCTACGGGGCAAATCAGAAATACACTTACATGACTTACATAAAATTAGAAAGATTACAACAACAAAAAGAAGGCGCTAACCACAAATGACACTACCTAATGACGCTTGCTAAGTAAAAAGGCTCTGAGCCAGGCTAAAAGGCTAACCAAACATTTCCCTGAACCACGGAGAACTGACAGTCTAGTGAGGGAAATAGAAAGAAACACAAATAAAGTAAATTAAGAACAGAAAGAATTCCACAGAAACCCGGTAAAGGTGAATTTTAAGCAGAATCTGGAATGATCTGAAGAATGAGCAGAACTTTGCCAGGCAGACAAGCAATCAAAAAGCCAAAAGATGGGGATGGAGGGTGGGGAGCCTTGGAGACCGAAAAGCCCTCAGGTCTTGAACAGCAACACGTTCCAGATGACTGCACCTGGGGTCCAAGAGGAGAAAAGGGGAAAAGCACACCTGTCGCTGCTGCACAAAATATCAAAGTGTACAAATAAAAGTCCCCCTAACTTCACTCTTCATTCCACTCCGCTCCCTTAGCCATGCTGAGCTTGTCTGGATTTTCCCCCTTTCTATATAAATGTTCAGTTATTTTTAAAATCTCCTCCTTCCTTGAGCTTCACGTACTGACTGTTTTATTAAGCAAGTTGTTTCTGCCATTTGCCAATGTACAATGAAAATCTCTGACTAGTTTTACACTTTTATGGGCTTTTTTGTTTGCTTTTTTTTTTTTTTTAAACTAAATAGTAGATTCTGGCAAAGAACAGTCTGGAAAGGGGCTAGTCTGGAGAAGACCAGTGAGAAACCAGGGGAACAGTTTGGGCAGGAATTAGTTTACCTAAAGCAGAGACAATGAGAATAAAAAGGAGACTGAATTGAGGAACATGTTTGAGACAGATTCTGCTGGATTTTAATCCGACAGGCCCCAGGATAATGGAAAGGAACAGCATGTCCGCCTTGTGTGTATTTCAGGTGGGTAGAGTAGAACGGACTGGGACTGTGGGAGAAGAGCCGAATAAAGTCACCGTTGAGAGTCCTCAAGTTGGAGGTGTTTGGGGGCCATGGTAGGACTGGCTCAAGAATTAGGGAATTAATGATACACAGGGTCCGATGTGTATCAGTAAGATTACTCTGACAGTAGAAGTGAGGGAAAGGAGGAGGCGCTAGTGCGGAAACAAAATAGAAAACACAGGCACCAGGGCAAACGTAGGCTCCAATTAGCCAAAACCGTGACGCTGGATCTCTGTGAGCTTCAGTGTGTTCATCAACGAAACCAACAAAAATTATCCTCGACATCCCTGGAATCGTTCGCCAGGGATGGCAGCCTAGGGCGTCTGTGCAGCAGCCTTTGAAAGATGCTAGCTTGCAGCCTTTCAGATGGAGGGCAGAGAATACGGCACAGACGAAGGGAGAAAGCCAGCCTGGAACTAAGGCACTCGGAGGACTGGTGACACCCGGAGGGTCCGGAGGAAAGAACCTGCCGTTGTCCAGGAAGGGGGAGGCGCGCCGCCTACCTCGGGGGCCACGCCGCCGCCCTCACTGTAGTTCTCGGAGATGAGCTGGTCGAAGAGCAGGTGGATCTCCATGCGGGACACGGTGCTGTCATCCGGCTGCAGCGCGCGGAGCCTGGCTGACAAGCGGCGGAACCCATCGTCCTGCTCGGGCGACAGCTCCCGCGGGGCCCCTCGTGGCTGCCCACAAGGAAGCGAAGAGGCGACCTGCACCGCCGCCATTTTTCCTACGTGAGCCAGCTGGGAAATACTTCCGGGGCACCGCTTGGGGGCAGGACTTCGCTGAGAGCTCTAGTTCCGGAAAGTCTTTATTGCACTACTGGTTGCAACTGTGGTGATGAGGGTATCATTCCATCAGCCTGGTATCTTGTAAAAAGTGGCAGAAATAAAGCTTGAAAATTTCGCCCCTCTCCCCCTCCTTATCCTCTCAGAAAGTTCGCTCCTGGTCGGGCTGACATTCCTAGAGTTTCAAGATTCTGGCTGAAGCTGGAGAGCACTGTGACATCCTTGTACTCCTACTTACATCCTATCAGAATCCTTGATCTTCCTTACCCCCAGTGAGATAAACTGATTGTTATAGCAGCGGTTCTCCTTGCTCGACACCAAGAGTATTTAAAGCAATCCTCAAGACCTGTTCAAACATTGCACTGAGCTAGGATGTAGGGCCTCGTTCTTACCACAATAGAGGTATGAAGAGACTGTGTGAACAGTCCGGGTTTAACGACATAGGTGACCCACATAAAGTGTTATTCAAGACTTAATGACCTTGGTATCATAGAGTATACTTCAAAGCTGTGAACTTCCACAGTTTTAGGGTAAGAGGTTGGTGTGTAGGGGCTGCTATCATGTAGTTCAAGTCAATGCAAGCAGTCTTCAAAGGCCTCCCTGGGAACTCTGCATATAGTTTTCCTTCGGTTGGTGATGAATAGGGATGTTCATTTTCTTGGTGGACCCAAACTGCCATCCACAAGGATAGATGTTATCAGAACTCAACACATTGGCATTAATTAGTAGCTTTTCTGCTGTTAGGATTAGATACCCAAGAGGGACAGATTAAAGGAAGGAAAATTTATTTTTGGTTCCCTATTTCAGAGGTTTAAGGCTGTCTGTGGCTGGCTCTCCTGCTTTGCTCTGTAGTAAAGCAGAATTATCTTGCCAACAAGTGTGTTTGGTTGAGGCTGCTCACCTAAAGCAAGCAGGCAGTGACAAGAAGCAAGGCAGGCCCAGGACAAATACCCCAGTGATGTACCTCCTTCAGTAATGCCCTGCTTCCTGAACAGTGCCATCAACTATGAACCAACTGCCCTCAACATATGAGTCTGTGGGAGACATGTCATAGTCAAAGCACGACAACCTCCAAATAATGCAAGCAATGTGGAGACTTTTACAATAATGATTTATTAAGAGAAACACCTCCTTGTCCCTCCCCCACTGTGCTCCTTGTAATCTTCATCCATGGCCTCCATTTTTAAGAGCTTTCTTGGGCATGGAGTTCCAAACAGGCAATTTTTTTTCAAGGTAGAAACTGTAGAAAGAGAGGTGCAATTATTAGAGAAGATGACCCTAGAGACAATTCTTTGTTGGAGAAATAGATATAAAAAGTATACTTGTTGCCAGGCAGAGGTGGCATATGCCTTTAATCCAAGCACTCAGGAGGCAGAGACAGGCGGATCTCTGTGAGTTTGAGGTCAGCCTGGCTTACAGAGTGAGTCCCAGGACAGGCTCCAAAGCTACACAGAGAAACCTGTTTCGAATGTTCTTGAGACCTGCTGTTTGAGGGGTAAGAAGCTACCTAGAATGCAAAGAGAAACAGCAGTTCCTGATTCTGGAAACCCATAGCACTGTATAGAAGCCAGCAAGTGCTACAGGTGGGTGGGACAAATACAGTGTTCTGAGCACGAACAGTTTAGGTTTGTTTTGTTTTGATTTATTTGTGTGGATGTTTGTGTTTGTGTATGTGCAGTTTACATGTGTGTCGTGGCCTAAGGGGACAGAAGACAGATTTTGAGGCCAGGTCTCTCCTTCCACCATGTGGATTCTAGGGATCAAACTCAGATCGCCAGTCTTGGCAGCAGGAGCTTTACCAGACTGTTGATCCGAACAGTTTGGTGTTGAGAGTATATGCTAAATATGCTAATACAATTTAACCTACAGAAGCACTCCCACAACTCTAGACTGTCTTTTCAAGTCCTGTCCCTTAGACATACCATATAGTAGTTTTTTATTATTCTTTTTTTTCAGTTAGTAGGTACTGAAAATTAAAAAGGGAAACTTATACAGTATTATGAATCCCATTAAATATTTTACAGAAAAAGCATCTGCTTAGGTCAATATGGCAATGTGCATCAAAGGCTTACTATGATTATTCTTTGGTCATTGATTATATATATCAGGTTGTATCCCAAAGGAATTAATAAGGGTGTGCACATTTTAATAGTCATACAGTCATATTAATATTATAAAATAAATGTCGTAAGCTTATATTTACAAAGATTGTTGGCAGAAGAGCATATACAAAGGGCCACAGAGAAGGCAAAGATGGTGGGATGGGACTGAGGATAAGTACTGATATTAAAATTGTTGGTTAATTATTTTTAAATTGAAAAGCTAAGGAATCAAAAAGCTACAAGATTCTTGTTTTTAAATATATTTTTTATATTTGAGCACAGTTAAATATGTATCACAGTCATAAACAGACATCATTTTTGGGGTGATGAATAATGGGTGATTTTATCTTCTTGCTCAAATCTTGTCTGATTTTTCTCCTGGATAGACTGGGTGGGGAAATTATTCTAAAGGTTTGGAAAGCACCATCCTGCGGTAGGTGCATCTTCTTCATGGAGGGAAAAGGGGAGAAACTCTAGGGAGACACATGGGAGTCTATCCTACCAACTCCTGGAAGTCCCATGGGGTCAAATGTCTAACCTGCCTGGTCTAGGCGAGATGTGTGGTAACAGTAAGGGTAAGATGGTTTTACCTGGTCTTAACTTGTAACACAGACATGACCGCACCCAGTGCTGACACACTGATCCCCTTGTGCACAGTCCCAGTCACCTCTGCAGAGCTCAGTGCAGGCACCTAAATCAGAAGAGATCATCTGAAAGCCAGGCAGGTGGGATAAACCGGAAATCCCAGCCGAGGCAGGCAGCTCCTCAGCTAATGGCCAGCCTGGACTACACAGTGAATTTACCCTCTCTCAACAGACAAATAGGGCCAGCCTGGACTACACAGTGAATTTACCCTCTCACAACAGACAGACAGATGGTGAAAGCCACTGTGCTTTAGGCTCAAGTTCTGGGGATGACAGTCCTCGCTTAAGGAGTAGATTTCACTAGTTTCTTTTCGCTCAAGGCAGAGTATAATTTGTAAGCTGTTACCGTTTAATTCTGTTAAAAACAAGGCACACACATAACTTCATTAAAGCAAGCCCACTTTAGAGATGTGGATAGAGGGGTCGGTCGTATTTGTGGAAAGGAAGGAAGACGGTGGCGTAAATGACAACACATCCCCACACCATAGGACATGGAGCAGAGCAGGGGAGATTTTGACTGTGAGGTTAGTCTCCCTAGCTCCGCTTTACAGCATAGTCCCCAGTGTTTCCAGTGCTGATGCTCCTCTAAGATGAGAAAGTTGAAGACCCCTTGACCCTATTCACAGTAGTGTGGTCAATCATTAAATATTTGTGTTGAGCTTTTTCTCTATATAAACTTTTTCTATACATAAGGCCCCTTGGCGCCTTCCAGTGCAAGTAAGACTGCCATTTAAGGTCTTGAAAACAAAGCAGTGTGTTGCAAGTGTCCTGCAAAGGGAAACTGGAAGACTCAAAGGGCTCAGAGGAGAAACGACATTATTTCTTGTTCATCAGAAAAAGCAAGCCTTGAAGTGCAGGAATATTCTCAAGGAAGAGTTGTGTTCCTTAGAGCGCAGGCTCTACTGAGGCACTTCCATGGAATGACTCTTCAGGTGGTGTCCCTTAGACATACCTAATTTGCCTCTCTGGGCACGTTTGGGAGCGGCTGGAAGTAAAGCAGAAGCAAGCACTGCATAGGGCAAGCAGGATCTGGGGGTCCATTTGACAGGCCAAGAGAATGAGGTGTCACTTGAGAAGATTATCTGCTGCGAAAATATAGACAGAACCAGGATTCAACTAGTCAGCACACGGAAGAAGGAAGAGAGGGATGGGGAGAGCTTTGGGGGGAAGTTATTGCAATGGCAGAGCCTTGGAGTAATCAGGGCTGAACACAGTGAGGAGATGGGAGAGCAAGGGCCGGAAAAGATGCAATGTTTCAAAAACAGGAAGTTGATGGAGTAGGGAAAAGAGTAAAGAAGAGAGGCCTAAGCTGAATCTGAAGACATTTCGGAGCGATACATTTCAGTAAAAGATAAACCAGGTTGCATGGTGTTGGGGGGAGGGTGCAGGGTGGGGAGGGGGGTTGCAGTGTCAGGGCTGCCAAGATGAGACTTTACTCCTGAGAAGAGTCAGGAGACTCATCCGGAGGACCCGAGAGTAATGCGTCAGGAGTTTAATGGGGCAGAATTTGAGGCTGCGGTTACCAAAGGGCTAAGGGAAGAATGGGCAGACTACTCCTTTGAGAGGTCAAAGGAGGTGAGGTGGATCATGCTTGTATCCAGCTTCGCAGGACCAGGCAGGAAGATTGCTGTAAGTTTGAGGTCAGCTTGGGCTACGGTCTGAGACTGTCTCAAACAAACAAACAAACAAAAAACAACAAAAACCTATGGCAACAAAACCTTTTTTGAGAATATCGTTGGTAAAGGAGATTGTCATAATTAGAAAAATGCCTTCTGTAGACAGGAAGAAGCTGGTGGAGAGGGAGAAGTGGGAAGGTGGAGAACCGCTGCTGAGCAAGCAGGAGCGGAGAGTTCACATAGGTGACCAGCTAATGGAGGGAGAAAAGAAAGAGGCAGAAAAGGGAGTCTGTTCTAGGGAACTAAGAGGTGACCATCAACGAGGATCCTAAAGAGAGCTTTCTTTCCTCCCTCTCCGCCCCACTTTCTGCGCGCATGCGCAGTGGTTCTGGATGGCCTACTTCTGACATCTTCATTTAAGACAGAGCAATGCTACCTTTTGCCTGAACTTACCTAAGAGATGCAATGGTCTCACTGCAGCCTGAAGCTCCTGAACCTCCAGGCTGAGGGTGACGAGGGACACCAAGAGAAGGAAGGCCCCCAGCTTCATGCTGCCGGTGGAGGATTTCAGCCAACATGCAGCAGAGCTGAGAACTGCTAGAACTTAAACCTTCCCACCCACGGAGCTAGGATGCAAAGTCAGGGGCGGGTCTGCACATCATGGAAGCCAAATCCCCGCCCGGAAACTAGCTTTGCTGGAAACACACCACGTGTGCCCTGGGTGGTGCCACTTATCCAAGGCAGGCTCTGTGCCAAGAACACTCTCCTCTGTCCCACAAACAGGACTCTTGAAGCTGGAAAGTTGGGGAGCCTGAGGGGCTCTCATTCATTTTCAACAAAGCATTAGAGGCCAAGTCTGGGCACGGAGCATGCTCGGATAAGGAAGGTGTCCTTAGGGAATTACAGTCCAGAAGCTGGCTGCCGTAGGAAAGCCCTCATCTGCTTTTCCACCTCTCCCCTCGCTGCTCTAGGACAGAGAGTAAACTGAGGACAGGAAGAGGCAGTGGGAGAGCTAGTGGGGTACAGTCACCTGTTGATGAGACAGTAAGCCGCCGCAGTTTTCCTCTGCCTTGATGTGATTGTCTCAGCTGCTTGGAGTCTTGGTTTTGGGGAACCCTAACTGGCAATATCCATGTTAATCCCCCACCCCAGGATGCCTCTCAGCCTGCCGCGGGACTTGGAATGGAGCGATAGTGACACCCAGCCTAAGTGTGAACTTAGCCGGGGGTGAGGGTGAGGAGTGATGGGTAGCAGGGTCAGTTTGTTGTCCCTTGGTAGGTTCCTAGGAAGATGGCTAATTTCTTTAGAGAGTCAAGTACTTGGGCTGGGAATATAACTTAGTGGTAGAGGGCATGAGGCCTTGAGTTTAGTTCCTAGGACCACACATACATGCACACTCATGCACGCACATGCACACACACAGGACGGGGAAGAGGAAGGGAGAGAACACTTGATGTTTCACAAGGGCCCCGGTTCCTATTTCTGGGCTCCAGAAGAAACCCTTCCTTTCATTTGTCACAAGTCGGAGGTCCTTTGGATAAACAGCTGACTCCACACGAGCTAGCTCTCTCAAGGGGGTTAAAAGGCAGAGTTATGGGCCATGCAGAAAGTGTTTTAACCCCACTCTGTCTAGCCCAAAGGAAGATCTGCTGGCACACAGTTTCTGCACTAGGTCTAATGCCTGGCACATGGCTGACGTCTCGTCTCTGTGATAGAATACCTGGCTAAAGCAGCTGGAAGGAGGAAGGTTTTGCTCCCCTACACTGTCCGCTGTTTGAGGGTTTTGTTGTGGAGAAGGCATGGTAGAGTGTGTGTGCAACTGGGACTTCTCACAGCTTTGCAGATGAGGAGAGAGAGGGCAGACAGATGCAGAAACACACACAGACACAGACAGACAGACAGACAGACAGACACACACACACACACACACACACACACACACACACACACACAGAAATCACTTAAGCCCCATCCCCAGTACCCTGGTCCCCCAGTCAAGTTCTAGCTTCTCTGACTTCTGAATCCTCCCCAGGCAGCACCAGTTAGGGATCAATTGGTTCAAACACCGGAGCCCATGATAGGGACATTTCATGCTCGATCCATAACAGCCGGGAGAGATTTTAGAGCTCTTCAACCCTGGAATGATTACACAGCTCCTTTCCATGTGATTCCGTATTTTTTTTTATAATCCTGAGGCCTAAAACAAATTGCACAAACATCAATGGTATATTGAAATCATTCTTATTTCTTCTTATATAGCTTCATTTTGATTTTTTTTTCCTGGTGACCTAAGCATGTGCTTATTGGATCCTGAGGGATCCTCAAATCATGTGGGGACTTCCTAGTTTGAATGATGTGTTCCATCCTGTTCCCTCATCTCTTCTCTTGGGTCCCGTTGTCTCTGCCATCTAGGCGCTCCTGAGCTCTGTTCCGTGCACATGGGTCAGTACAGTAACTCTTAACCTGCCCAGCTCGACTGTGCCTGGGACATGGAATTCCTTTCCGTTTCTTCTCTGAATGTGGGCATTCTTGTCTGTCAAAAGTCAAGTCCTTATCTATCAATCAATCACCCTAGGTCAAATGTCACCTCCATAACTTTCCTAGGCCCAACCCTGGGAGAGGAACCTGGTCTTTGGATTTGGCATAGTTCTTATTGAACTCTGTTAACGCCTAATACGTAATTGCTACTGTCTCTGCCTTGCATGTCTCTCCTGGGAGGGTCGTGACAGCTAGGGTGGGTTTGTGTTCAATGCTCCTTGTCAGGTGTTTATTGTCCTCAGTGATTATTGGGGGTGGGTGGTTATTTTATTTTATTTATTTATTTCTCTAGCCAAATGATAAAGTTAGAGAGAAGAATAAGAATGGTGAATGGTAGAGGTGGGGGGGACAAGAAGTGGAAGGTGGGCCAACTTCAGACCCATCCTGGGATCTTGAATTCGCTGAACCGGATATTCCATAAAGGTCCGCACTCTAAAACAACAGCACCAGAGCTCAATAACCCCCACTGGAATCCCACCTTGTTGCCACTGAGAGTGTGTGGAGAAGAATTCGTGTTAGTGAAAAAGACACAGCTAGCATTCAGTGCAGGGACTATAGAGGCAACTGGTATAGGACTTATTTTTTTTGTTTTGTTTGTTTTTTCGAGACAGGGTTTCTCTGTGTAACAGTTCTGGCTGTCCTAGAACTCGCTTTGTAGACTGGGCTGGCCTTGAACCTTGAACTCACAGAGATTTGCCTGTCTCTGCCTCCCGAGTGCTGGCATTAAAAACGTGTGCCACCAGGGCTGGCTAGGACTTACTCTGAAGGCAGCTTCCTCTTTAAGGGAGGGAGCTAGAAACCAGCAAACAGCCTGTGAGGAAAGCAACTTTCTAGAAACCCTGCTGACTGAGAACAAAGATAGATAGTGTCAATTTGACACAGACTTGAGTCATTTTGGAAGAGGGGGCCTCAACTGAGAAGCCACTCCCACAAGATTGGCCTGTAGACAGGTCTGTGGGACATTTTTAGAATTAGTGAGTCACGGGGGAGGGCCCAACCCATTGTGGGGGATGGCATCCCTGGGCTGGTGGTCCTGGTACTTTAAGAAAGCAGGGTGAGCAAGCCATGAGGAAGAAGCCAGTAAGCAGCACCCCTCCATGGCCTCTGCATCAGCTCCTGCCTCCAGGTCCCTGCCCTGGTTTGCTTCAGCAATGGAGTATAACCTGAGAGCTGTAAGCTGAAATATACCCTTTCCTCTGAGAGTTGTTTATGGTCATGGTGTTTCGTCACAGCAACAGAAAACCCAGCTGAGACAGAGAGTATTTTATTTATAGAAATATTAAGTAGAAACCAAAAGTCACCTTGCTTGCCCAGGACTACCAGGAGTGACTCCATTTGCATTTTGCATGAGTGACTGGGTTCTCCACCTGCAAAAAGAGGCTGGGTTCCCCACCATCTCGGCTCTTGGTGCACAAATGCCCTTGATATATTTAACTTGTGCTGACTCGTTTTAGGCTGCCAACTAAATAGATACTTAAACTTTGTAAATCTATAGTGCCTCGGGAATTTAATTTTCTCTTGTGGAGACCAAGAAGCCAACAAGACTGGTGATTGAGTAGAGACACACTCCAGACGTGAGCCAAGGGTGTGACTATTCATCTGCCTTTGCTGAACCTTTGAGTTAGTCCAGGCTAAGCCCCTCCACTGCCATTCTTTTTTTTTTAAAAAAAAATTTTTTTTGAGACAAGATTTCTCTGTATAGCCCTGGCTGTCTTGGAACTCACTCTGTAGACCAGGCTGGCCTCGAACTCACAGAACTCTGTCTGATTCTGCCTCCTAAGAGCTGGGATTAAAGGTGTGGCCACCGTCACCCAGCTTTACACCGACGTTCTTGCAGACATTCCTGTACTTAATGTTCCAACAGGTGGTAAGGTGGTTTGTCAGTCAGTGCTGATTGCCCAGTGGGAGAATTTGAGTGAGGATGTGTCGGGGCCAGGTCTGCTTCATCGTCACTTCAACTCCGTCTTCACTCTCCCCTAGCCCCTTCTTCTGCCTCGAACCCGGTGAGGGAGAGTCATCCCCAGGACACTGAAGGCGAGAATTTGACCAGTGTGGCTCCAGTCAGCCATCTTTCCAGCCTTGGCGGTCTCGTCTGTGAGGTGGGATGAAGTAGGCAAGAAAATGGAGAAAGACGGAAGGGTCATAGGAAGGGAAAGGAGCTGCTCACCCTGGGAGCGAGTTTGCATCTCCTGTTGTCAAGAAAGTTTGAAAGAACAAATCTTGCTTATTTAGGGCTAGAGTGCTTGTGGCCCTTCCTTTTCATCTCTGAATCTAAAGAACACACCCCACAGGCCATCTTATAATTTCATTTGCACATAGATTTACTTCAATGTTGGGAGCTGGAGAGATGGTTAAGAGGACCTTGGTTCCCCAGCACCCACATAGTGGATCACAACTGTCTGTAATCCCAGTTCCCAAGGAATCTAATGTCCCCTTCTGGCCTCTGTGACTACCAGGCACACACATGAAATACCTTTTAAAAATTTACTTGATTAAAAACATTACTTAATCTTTCAACCTTTTTATAAATGACATTCTTTGACTAATGTAGTTTAGACATCACAAAGCATATAAATAGGTGTTGCCAAGACAGCTGAGTGTGACTCTTGCCTTGAGATGCCCACGCTCACGTCTTTGTCCTGTACCATCCTTTCCCTGTCCATCTTCCTGTCTAAGTACTTAAGCTCACTAACCTTGCCCTCTTCTGCCTCATCCTCAAGTTTTCCTGTAGAGCCAGAGGTCTGGTTCTATTTGGGTGAAAGTCTCTGAATGGGCAGGGAACTCCTCAGGTTGCTGATGGCATTTCTGGGCTGCTTTCCCTGCTGCCACAGTTAGAAGCCATTTTTTATTGGGCATATGAGAAACACACAGGCACACGCACACACACACACACACACACACGCACACGCACACGCACACACACACACACACACGTGTTTGTGTAGTATGTATGTATTTGTACTCTTGACACCACATCTTTGAACTGTCGGCCGTCAGTACTATGAACATCTACAGGAGGGATTGTTGTTTTTTCTTCCTTGTCTCTGCAGCAGGCTGCTTTGGGCAACCTG